ACACGGGAGGTCTCGGCGGCCAAGGGAATCAGCTGCCCGGCGCCCGTGGTCTGATGATGCACAACATGTGGTGTGTGGTGTTGGTGATTTCAACAAAGGAAAGAAAAGGAAAAGGAAAAAGAAAAACGTTCCAGGAGGTGTACCAGGTACTCGCGGAAGGGGATGGAGGAGATGCCCAGGCTGGCCAGCAGGGAGAAGGCGCCGTTGGTGGTGACGAGGCCGGGATCGCCGTGGTCGGGGTGGATCTCGGCGCTGCCCCACACCGTCTGATGGGCTCGCAGCTCCTGGAAGTACATTCCGTTGCGCACTGGTCACCCGTTGATGAACGAACACACAATCAGCGCCCGGGCTCGTACGTTTGGGGGGGGGGGTTATGCGGCCACGAGGAAACACGTACTGAAGGGTTCGAACGACTCGTAGGGCAGGGCGAAGGTTTCGTTGTTGTCCTCTCCGCGCTTCAGCTTGTACTCCAGACGGAGGGCAGGGAGCGAGAACGCCATGATCTGACTGAACGTCACCGTCGGCGCGCTCTGTGCGAGTGCCACGCGCGTGGTTAGGCACACACCGTTGGGCGTGGACTTGGCTCAAGGGGGAAGGTTGAGGGCTGTACCGGGGTCTGCGTGCGGTAGGACTGGTGGGGTGCGGGGATCGAGAGATCGTAGACCAGCTCCTCCAGGCCGAAGGGAACGGCGGGGGCGGTCGCCAGCGAGCCACGCAGGCGCTCGAGAGTGACGGTCATCTGGCTGCTCTTGCCGTAGGCCTCGTTGGGCATGTTGCCCCGCTTGAAATAGGTCGTGATTACCCTGGTCGCTGCGTCGTAGGTCGTCGACGTAATCGCCACCTGGTCGGCACCGTAGCTGATGTAGTTGTTGCCCACAGGGTCATCGCCGGCCTCCCAGAAGGTCGCCGATGGCAGCGTGAACGTGAAAGAGCCGCCTGCGGCCAAATTTCGGTCACGATCACGGGATCACCAGGGGGAGAGGGCAGTAGGGGAGACGCACCTTTGCGAGTCGTGTTGGGGTTGAGCTCGAACGTGGCGTACCACACGGGCACGATGCGCACGTCTCGGTATTCGCCGAAGCGGGCCACGCCCTCGGCGGTCTTCGGGGAGTAGTACCACTCCGTCTGCAGGGCGACGCTCGTGTCCTTGATGAACCCCATCACATCGTCACCCGACGTGATCCTGCAGCCAAGCCACCAAACCGTTCATTCACCAAGGCTTGACGCAACGGTGATCGTTCAAGGGAGTACGTACGAGTTGTCGGTGAAGGGGACGGTGTAGTGGACCTTGCGGATCGGGCCGGAGGTGGGCAGGGCGTCGAGGTCGACCTGGCCCTCGCGCTTTTCGCAGTCGAGGAGCAACTCGTTCTGCCATTCGGCGCCGCGGTAGCCGCGCGAGAAGGCCGGCGGATGCGCACCCGGGTCGCGGCCGAAGTGGCTCGCCACAACCTTGCTCGCCGTCGACGCTCCCTGTTCAACGCAACAGACACCGTTCCATCACACTGTAAGCCCGAAGAACAGCATGGCATGGCATGGCATGGCATGGCATGGCATGGCATGGCATGGCATGGCAAGCAGGTGGGCACGTACGCAGTCGTTGGAGGTGGCTTCGTACTGGTCGAGCGAGAAGGTGCTGGTGGGGGTGAGGCCCTCGGGCAGGGGCAGGCCCTCGCGGTTCTTGTAGTAGTAGACATCGGAGCGGGCGAACGCGATGTTCTTGCGCAGCGCGGTGCCGGAGGGGTTGAGCATGGATGCCGGAGCCGAGCCCGAGGGCCACGAGCCCGCCACGTCGTAGGCCGCGAAGGCCCTCGGGTCGGACAGCTCCAAGAAGGCCAGCATGCGGGGCACGCCCAGACCGTAGAACGAGTCGGCGTCGGAGAAGAAGACCTGGTTAGTCACGAACTGGGTGCTGGTCGGCGCGTTGCTGGCAAGGCCTGAGTTGGCGATGTCCGACACATTGCCCGACACGGAGGGCAGGCTGCCGAACAGGCCGGGGTCGCGGACGGTCTTGTTGTTCTTCACCGGGATGTCCCAGTCGGCGGCAAGCAGGGCCGCGCGCTGCAGGAGCAGGGCGTAGTCGAGGTAGTCGTAGTCGCGCGGGTCGAGGCTGACAAAGGGATAGGAGTAGTTGGCCACCTTGTTGATCGCCTGGTCGTAGTACTGCCAATCGAACGTCGCAAGCGTTGCCACCTACGCACGATCATGTGAGACAAGTCCCTTGCATGTACTAAAAAAGAAACAGGGAATCGTACGGCGGCCTGGTTGCTGATGTCCACCAGGGGCGAGATGAGGGGAATGTAGCTGATGAACGTCACGTCGAGCGCGTTGGTGTTGGCCTTGTTCTCGGCCGTCAGCACGTTATCCACGTAAATGCCGGAGCCGCTCACTACGACACGACACGACACCACGATCAGTGAGCAAGCAGAAGGCCGAAGCTGCTGAAGTGGAGTTCGTACAGGGATAGAAGCCCAGAGGATCGGCATTCATATCACAGCGAATCTGTCGATGTCAATGAGCACAAGCCAGCAGGTGGGATTGGGGGGGGGGGCAAGAAGGGTACCAGCGCGGCTTCGTAGGCGTCGACAGTGACGGGACCCCAGTCAACAAACACGGGCGCGTTGTCCCTCGCCGCCACGGTGTAGTTGACCTGCGGGTACACGAGCGGGATGCCGGTGCCCTGCTGGGTGATGGACACGTCCTCGATGAAGAGGTTGACTGTGGCCGACACCACGCCGAAGGCCGCCAGCGAACCTCCCCCGGGGGAACAATCGAGGTAGTACGAGGCATTGAGTGCCGCACCGGGCGCCGTGCGCTGGGTGTTCGGCACCACCGAGCAGCCAGCCGGCAAGGGACTATCCAGCTGTTGGCGAAGTTGATAGTGAGGATAGAAAAATAAAAACGAAACGCAAACGCAAACGCAAATTGAAACACAAACGCAAACAAACTGAAACATAACGTACCCGCAAGCCGGAAGCGACCCAGATGACGAAGGAGACGTCGCCGAGGGGGTCTTTGAAGAGGTTCTTGAGGTCGGCCTTGACCGCAAGGCTGAGCTGCTCGAATATGGGGATCGTGGTGAGTCCCGAGACGATCTCCGTGTCGATGATGATCGGCCCAGCCATCGCCAGGAACAGCGCGTCGAAGAACCACCCGAATGAGGCCTCCTCCAGCACTGGATTGCCCAGGTGCAGCACGAGCTGGCCCTTGCCCACCGGCTGCCACATGATGTGCGGGTAGGCCCCGTCCGGCTCCGCATTCCGCACCGCGCCGGCCGCGTTCTTGATGCGCAGCGTGGTGCCGTTCCACCGCGACACGACCGTGAACGCATTAGCGTCGCTGACGACCGGCGCCGACTGCAGCGAGGCCGACGCGGCCGAGCCGTTGGTGGTGGGTGAGAAGCACAGGGCGCGCTGGACCCACTCGGCCTCGGCGCTGGCAGCGCCGATCTCCCCGCAGCCGGTCACGACAGCCGACAGCTGGCCGGGCTTGGGCACCAGGGTGTCGCCCGTGTCGAGGGTGCCCGCGGCCACGAGGCCCAGGGTCTGGAGCAGCAGAGCACCCTTGCCCGAGCTGAACACGAGGCCGCCCTGGTCGAGGTAGGCCTGCAGCTGCTCGCGTCCGCTCGCACCGAGGAACTCGGCGATGGTCGCGTCGGCGCCGGCGTAGATGTCGGGCACGATCAGAGCGCCGAAGCGCGGGAAGCCATCGGGCAGGAGCAGCCGGCCGGACTTAACGTCGGTCTCGTCGATGTAGACCACGCTGGTGGCCTCGTGCGCAGAGTCGGCGGCGATGTAGGCCCAGTAGTCGGCCGAGCGCCAGCACTGGGCGTACTTGGTGTTGAGGTAGTTGTACAGAGGCGCGCAGTAGTCGAAGGCCTCGTAGGTGAGCGGACGGATCATACCATTGTACTCGCCCTCGATGGTCAGGATCGCAATGCTGTCATGATCCATCGACAACATGAGCCATAAGTTGTCAAAATGAAGGAACGCCACAGTTGGTCACCACCACACATGTTCTAGGAGGAGGGGATGGAGTGAGTACCTGATGTCGTAGAGGGCCTTGGCGCTGCCGAGGTCGATGTTGGACTGGTCGGCGATGGAGGCGAACGAACTGTCGAACCCGTCGGCAGTGGTCGAGATGAGGGCGCCCTGGTCGAACTGCACCCCGGCATCGGTGGAGAACGACTGCGGGTAGAGGATGAACCGCGACTTGCGGGGCGACAGATGCGTGAACGCGAACCGGAACGCAGCGGCCCTCTTCAGTTCCGTGTCCTGCCGCTCGTCCAAGGGGATGTAGACCGGCTTCTCGATGGTGCTGACCCGCTCCTCTTGGAGGAGGCCGGAACCCTCTGAGAGGGAGGCGTGGTAGAAGTGCAGGGGCAGTTCATCGTCCGCCACTTCGCCCAGTCCGGCGATGGCCAGGGCTGCAGGCAGGACGAGGGCCAGTACGGCGATGGCGGCCAGCGCCGACCGCTGCCAATATCGCAGGCGGCCCAGAGGAGGAGTCATGTTGTCAGTCAGTCTATGGTGGAGTGGTTATGGTACAAGTGGCGGTGGTGGACTTGATGTGCCGGTGGGTCGGATGCGAAGTGGCCTTAGGGCTGGTAAGGGTCAGAAGAAAGGATCGCCTCGGCGCTATGTGAGTGGGCGGAAAATGAGAGTATTAATTAGAGGCAAGTTGCGCGGGCCAATGGGAGCTGCAGGACGATCACCCAACATCAAGGTTGTACGAACACCACCCCCGCAACAATCACAACCGCGCAATGATTGGCCTTGCGAGGGATCCCCTTCTTCGGCGTGGCTCCGGTTCACTCTCACCCATTGGATCCCTCCACGCGCCATGTGACCGCGGTTCACTAACTTGTTCCTGGGTGTGAATCAATGTTTATGTACATGGAGGGGGTCGTTGACCTTACCCTTCGCCGCCGGCCTGAGGGCCAACCTTGGCCGTGTGGCGATGGTGTGCATCGAATGGTGTGGAGAGGTGGCAGCTGAAGTTGTTCAGTTGACGAGCTTGGTGCGTCGGCCGAGAGTGCGCTTGGCCACGGTCGCGGGCTTCACCTTGGAGGGCGCGTTCTCCTTGTCAAACGAATCTTCCATGAGCTTCTGCACAGTGCAAAGTGGATGGATGTTAGGTCGGGTCGGACCAGGAAGTGGGCTTGAGAAGGAGGTACGTACCAAAGGAGACTCCTCAATCTTCTTCTTGA